AAACGTCCGTGAACAGAGCCGTGAAGTGCTGGTACTTAAACTTAAATAACGGTTGCAACTGATGACGGCATTGTCGAGTGCTTCATTGATCCTAGATGCCAGAGCAGATATGCTTAATATATTGAGGTGGATTAACCAAACGCCTTATCTTATACGTATTTGAATTATATTGTGTAAATTCTGAGCTAATGATGACAACACTGCATTGAGAAACCTTAAAAACTCCGGCAGCAATTGTAAATACGATATTTCATTATCCGTCATGTAGTCTGTTGGCGAAAAGAGTTCAATAGCTTTAAGCACCAATTTCAGTTTATGCATATTTTTTGAATATTAACACATACACATAGATAGGTAAGCTTATGGAACGCACTGTTTGATAAAGCCTTGAAACACCTTTACACACCAAAAGATATTGAAATTTGTCTGCTAATACAAACTGAATTATTTTGACTTTAGGTCACTGATACCAAAAACTCTACGAAGAGGCGTTACCAAACAGGATGCGTTTCGCACATCCAATTACAGTTGCATGGAACAGAAGAGGGTGAAGACAGCTTTTCTAAAAACCAAGACCTCATTTTACCACACTGGACAGAACTGCAAAAAGCGGCCCGCAATTCTGAGGAAAGTCACAGGCTGGACGCTGAGGAGACTGCAACTGTTTATGATTATCAGCGTTGGGATGCGCTCGAAACGGATGTACCACCAAAGAGTACTGGAAAAAAAGGTAAAAGAAAGTCACACGGTACCGCATAGCTTGATCAATTCCAATCAAGGAAGCAAAACTCACAAGGCGGCAAAGAATTCCAAAATGATTTCAAATGTGGGCATGTTAAATTCCGCTTAGTGCCTGACTTACTTTTCAATTAGTTTGTCTTTCATCTCGTCACTGTGTGCCTTAGCCTAATCATTTTCTAATAAATGTTTCTTGGCTTATTTTGGTAAAATATCTGGTTTTTGTATGCAGTTCTGTCCACGCATACTAACATTTTGAATAATTTTTATTCATTGACCACACATCGCTCTCTTTAATTTTCTTGAAGCGAATTCTAACAAGAGCGGAATTAAGCATTCAGGTACCACAATGCGTGCTCGATAAAAGAAATATATGTTCATTCATTAAGATGACATATGTCTGAACCTTCGCTTCTTCGAACTACAAGTTGCCCTCCGTTCAGTTTTGCGAGTGCTGCAAGCAAATTGCGGCAAATTGCAAAAGACTGGTAAACATTCGCGGACAAGCATTAAGTACGTTTGCAATACTGACTATCATGCAGTCTAATCTCTAGTTTTTTCAGTCACATCAAGATGTCAGATTTTTAATGAGCTTTTTTCTGACCGCTAAGAAAAAACAAATTCCGTACAAACGATTACCTAGTAAATATGCATTGATGTCACTGATTTTGACTGCATTTATAAACTCAAATATACTTTATTGAAAATATGCACGAAAATATTAATCTCTGCAGTCGCGTGCTGGCAGATTACGTATTCCGTTAACGCTACACTTAATGAAATTGTAGATTTCGGTTTTAAAAAGTTTCTAAATTGCCGAAAAATTCGGAAACCTGCCGATTGCTAAACCTCAATTCAAGATCACCAAGCAAAATTCTTTGTACACACTGCCTAAAAAAACGTACGATGCCCTTCATTTATAAATTTAGTTCAAAAAAGCGGGTAACTTGCAACCAAACGCTTGCGAGAAAAAACATTTCCGCGTGTATGTGTTCCACAAAGAATGGCAGTCAAAATCAATGATAGAAATGCATACTTCTAAATTTGCCACTTTTTAGACAATCTTCTTTTTTAAGCGATCAGGAGGAGAAAGTTAGTATTCTAGTGCGACTGAAAGGACTTGCTATTAGGCTGCAGGATAATCTAAGTCAGTCAGACAGTATATTTGAGGAAAAAATGGGCTTGTGCCTCTGAACTTCCTATACGTCACACCAAAATCTCAAGAAATAGGAACAATGTTAACAAGTTTTCAATCAGGAATAGATAGACCATCACATCGTCTGTTAGTATTTCAAGGTTAATTCACGTTGTTCACGTTGTCAATTCAAGCGAGCATGTGAGTCCAAGAAAGTAATTGAGAAGGGGACGACTCGATCACTGGGACAATACTTTTATTCGCCTGACGTTTCGACATCCGTCGCGGATTTATCATCAGAGACGTTCGCAGAAAAACGGTAGCAGAACCACATAATACTTGCACAGGAGTTTGCAGTATTTATAGGATACAGCCATTACTGCAAACATGGAGCGACAATTAACGTTAATTGCCTTACTGCGCGTAGATAGTTTGTTGGACGGCACGCTGGCTCTGACCGGTTCAAATTTCATCACGTATGGTTGACTCGGGCGCGATGATTGCTTGGCACTCTGCCCTAGTGCGGCGAAATGATACCAATTCTCAAGTTGCGGCTCATTCGACGAGTGGATGCAACTGACGAGCACTCATGAAATTTTATGGATCCATTACAATTGCATTCCAATTGCATTAAAATTTTTAAGTTCTCACCGGGAAAACTATGCTTCAAATTTCTGAGACAGCACCTTCCTTTGGATACCATCAAGTCTTTGGAAAGACTTTTGGAATTATGATGCCGAATTACGAAGGAGATTACACGAATTGAATTTCTACAGAATTGTCTATTAAACAAGGAATAACCTTTTGAGTTTTACAAAGTCCTTCGACGTGGGAACGTACGCCCAACCTTCATAAACCTCGACCGACTCACACAATCAAAAATAGAGGATTCTGTTCAGTCGCTGGATCATAACAAATCTCTTTTGCATCAGACCAATCACATTCTAGACAAGATTGGTTTTTATTGTTGGTTCATATTCATAAAACACACATATATCATACAAAGGAAGACCAGAGAAACATTGCGTCGCAAACTACTTAAGTCAATTTGTAATAAGCCTACAGAGGAGATCTTCCCTTCAAACCCGGATGAATTTATCTTGAATCTTTCTGACATCTAACTCAATAAGTTGCAGACAGAGGCCCTTTCATTAGGACTTGAGTTTTGTTTGCTGAACAATCGAATAAATCCTGTAGACCTTAAAGCTCAATTCGAAGATTTATACTCTCAACTGTCTGACCTTAAACCTAGATCCATTGATGATCAAGGATGGATGAAAGCAAAATTTGTGGACATTGCCTATCAGTACCGGAGAGCTCCAATAACACAACGTTCTCCTATAACCAAAGACCCTATAATTGCTCTATCCGAGTTGAAACGCCACAAAGAAATAGTTATCTCTAAACCAGACAAAAGGGTAAAGAAGTAGTTATTCTCAATCGCCAATAAAATGAGAGCCATCTTAAATGATTCTAGCAAATTTCGTCTAGAATCGAAAGGCAAAAATGAAACGAAGGCATTAGAAGATTCAGCTTGGAAAAGTATTAAGCTTATGTTGGACAATAATTTGATTGATACCAAAATTGCTTCGTCGCTAAAACCTAGAGGTTCCCACATCCCACGGCTCTATGGATTACCGAAAACCCATAAAAGTG